GGGGAGGAAGAGGGGACCTGGGTTCTCTTTTGCTTTTAATTGGATTTTCTCAGATTGCTATGATTTTCCTATTTTGACACATCTTTGCAAGCATACACACACATGCTCCCATCTTGGCCGGTACAAGTGATGTCCCTCCTCCTCCCAAACCCTTTGATTCAAGTATTGCACAGTTCCATGTGCGATTCGCTTGCTGGGCACCCTGAGAACAGGGCTTCTCCTCCACCCTGGGGAGAATGGGGGTTCGTTTCTGCCCTACAACTGGCAGCTTCTGAGTCTTTTGGCAGAGACGCTCGAGGCCTGGGATAAGACCCAGGAATGTGCCACCTCTGACCCGAATCCAGCGTGCTTTCCTGCCAGGAAGAGAGCCAGCTTCCAGAGGCTAGCCGGCTTGAAACTCAAATGAAGGAGCACTTTGGTTCTCCAGAATTGCTGGGCTGAGCTCTCCATCTACAAGATTGATGAGGAGATGCGTGAGAGCCCAGAGAAGGATTGGGATCGTGTTCTCCAGCCCTGATGCTGAACCAGAGCTCTGGGCTGGGGAGGGGCGGAAGAGGACGTGAGGATGGGTGATGGATTGGTTCCCAGCTGATGAGGTTCTGGAAAGTCTTTAAAGCTAGGTTGGTGCTGGGATTGTTTTCCCACCAGCCGCTCTCTGCTTTCTTCCTTGTGTTCCACTCTCTGAGCAGAGGTTCCACCCTGAGAGACAGAAGGACCCATCTGGGCACAATGACACAGCCGTGCTGGAAGAGCATCTGCTTCCAAGAAAAGGGGGATGTGACCTCAGTCGGCTCCCACAGTCCTCTGGAAAAGCACCTTCCTTCAGGACAAGCCAGCATACTCTTCCCACATCTTGTTCTCTCAGATCCTTTCCCTTCCTATGGGCTCTGCAGGGAGCCAAAGGGAGCCAATCACTGAGGATCAGCAGGGGAGAAGGGTGCCTGTCTCACCTGATTGCTCCTTCCTACCATTATACCAGCCTGTAAATTAATTAAGCCTGCAGATAAGAGAGGCCCATGGCTTGGATAACACCACTAGTGACCCACAGGGAAGAAAGCCCATCTGAAGTCAGGCCAGCCTCTGCCCAGGAGAAAAGATAAATCTTCCTGTAGCAGAGGAGGATTAAGAGGTGGACATTTGCAAAGAAGGGAATTCAAGGGGATCGTAAACTGAGTAAGCATGGAAAGATGAGATCTCCCTCTCAAGACTTGGGAACTTCCATTATGTGAAAGCATTCCTTGATGCAGAAAGAAGGAGACTAAGGAGGACGGGGTAAGACTCATCAACCAGCTGAAGAAGCAATCTACGGGAGAACCATGAAATTATAGCCCAAGAAGACAAGATCAACCTACATTTGCATCACTGTTTCACGTGGCACATTCAGTACCGGCTGCCTCCCGTGGATCCTCACAAATAACCCAGATCAAAGTTGCAATGAGCAAAGGATTCCCTGTCCTGGTTTGCCTCATTTTTCAGAGATTCTCAGGAACGTCGCAGAGCGCGGTTCAAGATGAAGTCAACAGCCTGTCAAAATCCCTGGGAAAAGTCAACTTGGAAATAGCTGCGTGAAGTTGATCTGAGCCAGCCCGAACGGATGTACAATTTCCCACATTTGCAAAGTGGTCTTTTCCTTTTAAAAAGGTCGCTCTGCTTTTAATTTTGCAACTGGCTTCATTCACAAGTAAGAGTTTGCAGATGGGGTTAAAGCCACTCCCAGGCTGCCGCCCAAAACACGCTTGCTCAGATTAGACTCCTCTGAATTCATCGACAGTTAATTCAACTGCCGGCGGCCAATTCAGGCCATCGTGTCATGTGAAATCTAGGCGATAACGTTTTATTAAAGCTCTAAGAATTGGGAGACATATGTGAAACTCTGGCAGAGACATTCCCTTCTCTTCCCCATTTGCTTCTGATCTGCACACAAACTTATTTATCTCTTGGTATATTGTAAATTCCTAAGGATTCCTGCCTGCCTTTGAGTGAGTCAGAGGGAGAATGGGAGACAACCGCACAGCCACTGCCCAGGAAAAAGACTGCCCGCGTGCCAAGCAAGAGATGGATCAGCCAGCCCAGGATGGCCATAATCCCCTCCTTTATCCATCACCTCTTTTCATGACAAGAACGTGAACACCACGATCCCAACCATCACGCTTTCTGCTAAGGGAGCAGGAAGACTTTGCCCAGATGCATTTTGGTTTTTTTCCAAACAACCCAAAGGTAAGCAGAGAGTGCGCTGCAAGAACGGAGGAGGGAGTCGCAGTCTTGTCCTCTCCCCCCACCCTTGAAGGGGAGGGAACAGGGTGCAAGAGAAAAGGGCTTGCTCTAAACCAGGGGTGTCAAACTGCCGGCCCACGGGCCGGTTGCGTCATGCGGAGGCCACACCCACCCCAGCTCCGGCAATGCGAAAAAAGTCATGATACGTCGCGACATGTCACGTGACGCAGCCAGTTTGACACCCGTACTCTAAACTGAGGCCCACAAAGCCAGAAAGAACCAGCCATTTCAGAGAGCTTTGGCTGTATTTAGAGCAAGAAGTCCTTTCAGATGGGTCCACTCAGAAGTCAGCCAGGTTGAGTTCAATGGGAAGCCCCAAAGGATTGGAGCTTCAGTTCAGAGAGATACAGCTGAACTTGATGGCCCACCCAACGGTCACCGACTGGGTCAAAAACACATTCCCAGCCATTTGTTCCCAGCCAGCGGCTTGAAGCAAAGGCCGGTCCCTTCGGTGGATCTAGGCATCCCGCCTCTCTTCCATCCAAGGCAGGTTTCTCCACTGGACACAGCTTTAGCATTGAGTACCTAAGATCAAGACACCATCAACCTGGTATAGCAGCAACATTCTTGTGGTGAAAACCAAGAAGAAAGATCCCAGTTTGCATTGTGGGAATACCAACTCCCCATTCCTTATTCAGAGGAGGAGGAGGAGGAGGAAGAAGAACTGGACAGCCTGGTGAAACCGAGGAAGAAGAAAAGAGCTGCTAGAAGAAGGAACCGGAAGAATGGAGCTGGAGTTATGGCTCCAAAGGCTTTGAAGCCACATCCTTAAAGAGGCTTGGGAGTAAGAAAGAAGATGGAGGCTGTGAAAAACAGAGAGGATGGATGGTGCTCCACAGGCCCCTGATGAAGGAACACATAGCAGATAAACAGGGCAGTGGGTCTCATGGGTGCTGCATATACAGAAGAACAGCATAACAATGGGTAGTGGTCCACCGACTGCCTTCACCAGAAGATATCTCCAGGGCCAGAGGACAACCCAGGTCTTTTGAGACAGAAACACCGATGGGACCACCAGCATGCAAGTCACTGATGCTTTTTAGATGGCTTCTGGAGGACCTAAAGAGAACAGCCACATACACAGGCTGACGTTTCGGTTCTGTTGCCAGTAAACAGGAGGAAGAGGGCCCGTCTGGTCCAGGAGGAAGAGGGCCCGTCTTATTTCCCCTTGAACACAGGATTGGGACTCCAAGGCTTCAGAAGTGCAAGCCAAGGCAGTTCAAACGAACTCATAATCCACATTGTGCAGCTCCATCTGTGAAAGATGAGCCCCTTGCAAGAATGACTGTTTGTTTGGGTGAAGGAAATGCCTCCATATGTGGGCAGAGGGGCAGAAGAGGGGTTGAATTTGGAGAGAACAGAATGATCTCTGGAGATATTGGACTACAACCCCAATGTTCCCCAGCCAGAAAAGCCTCCAACAGCCCTGTGGGCCAAGCAACTGGAAGGAGAGGGACAAGGCTGTTTAAGGGGGATTAAAAGGATTCCTTGAGAAAACTCCAAGTTCCGCACTTCTAGAAAATTACATCTTTTCATGAGCACAGCAATTTGTCTTTTTTGGAAAAGCCCATTTCCCCAACTGTTACCTACTTTAGTGGTTGTCCGTTTCCATTATTTGGCAAAAAGTCTCTTATCCTCCTCCTCCTCCTCCTCGCCATCACCACCATTCCGGTTATTAGCAATATTTTTGGAACCTTTTGCAAAGACTATTTACATTCACATTAAAAGTACAACATTTCTGCCCTGAAACCTTGGCTGGGCCATCTGTAAGGGTTCCACCCCCCTGCAGCCATGCCATCTAACCCCCTGCCCCATATTGCACTCCCGTCCTCAGTGCTTTGTACAGTGTTGCAAAGAATGTGACCATTGGATACTGCTGTTTCCTCCCCCCCTTCCCCCTCCTCCCCGGTCAAACATCTGTTGGTTTTCCCAGGAAAAGTATGATGAACCCAGAATGGCTGCAGGAGCTGCAAGAGCAGGATGGAGGCCGGGGAAGGGACCCCCTGCCCTCCTGGGAGACCCAATGAGAGATTGGGGAGAACAGCCAAGGAAGAGACACCGAGGCCAGGGTGACTCTTGGCTGGCCTGGCACCCAGTCTTTCAGAAGAGAAGAAAAGAAAGACGCCACTCAGTCCTTTGGGAGGTCAGGCAGAAGTCAAGAAGGAAAGGGCAAAGATCTGCCTGGGAAAATGGGTGGATTATGGAGAGCAGAGAGGGGTGGGGTGGGGGGTAGAGGTGAAAAGATCCAGGTGAAAGACAGAGACTTTTTGCCCAGGTGCCAGAACCAAACTAGCCAAGGGCGGGCAGGCAGGCAGGCAGGCAGGGGTGAATCGCACACATCTGTCTGGAACAGGTTGTGTGGTGGCCGTTTAATACAACAGGTTTTGATATATATAAAAAAGCACAACGGATTTTCATAATCCACCAAGCGAGGGATTTTATAAAGTCATTTCTGCCTCACTCTTTCTCTCTTCTCTCTCTGTCACACATATACACACAAACACCCATCCTCACACTCACAAAAGTGGTGGATACTTGGTTTTGTTTTTTGCTTTATTCTACGAAAATTTCTGCGAATCCCACAGTCGCACATCTGTCCTCCTCCAGGGTGATACAGGAACAGGCCAAGGTCCACGTGCTATGAGGTCCGCCCCTTCCCCCTCCCCCCTCCAGGAACACAAAGGAGTAGAAGTGCCCCCAGCCGTGGCACGGCAGCCGCAGCCGCTGCCAAGCTGCAGGTAGACAGTTGCAGAAAGATGCGGCACTCCTCCGTTCACAAAAACCTAATAAATAAAGCCTCTGTAATGAGGAAAAAGAGGAAGAAGTCAATCGAAGGAAGAAAAGGGGGGGGGGGAAAGGAAGAAAGAAACTTTGGCAGAGGAAAAAAGTTTGGATTTTTTTTTTCTGTTTTTGGATTTCCTTTGGAGCAGAGGTGAAAATGGTATTTCTTGGCTAACTAGCAAGGTAGTTTACAGGTAAGCTTCCTTTACTTGGTTTTGTGGGTACTTTTTGGATTTTTTTTCTTTCTGTTTTACTTAAAGCCAAAGAGTTTGATGTTTGTATTGTCTATTTTTATTTTTTTTACAAAAAGGAAAAAAAAGACTTGCTTTTTGTAACTGAAATCCATTTTTCCCTGCCTTCTTCTGCCCCTTCCTCTTTCACAGGAAGGGGCTTTCATTCTTTTTATTTCCATGAACGCACCTTCGGCAGGAGACGGAGGGAGCCTCGTCCCGTTTTCCTTCCCTGTCCCCAAGTCAAGAGGTGGGGATACCTGCAAATGCCTCATCCGAGAAGAAGAAGAGGAGGAGGAGGAGGAGGAAGAAGAAGAAAAAGAAGAAAAAGGAAAACAACCCCCACCCCACCTTCAATTCCCCCACATCCTATGGGTTGGAGGTTGAGTCTTCCACCACCATCATCATCATCATCATCATCATCTCCGAAGGACGGACGAGGCCCGGTGCTTGCCTTAACTCCATTTAAAGCCAGGTCTGAGGATTCATGAGGATTCTGTCGTAGAGTTAGAGGTTGCTCTGGAGGTCAAACACGTGTCAGGTAGCTGAGGATTTGCATTGAATGCAGTTTTCTGTGGTTTTTTTTTTAATTTGGAGAGCAGTGGTAGCAGCAGCAGCAGCAGTGATGGTTCTCTTCCCTTTTGTCTCTCACCTAGCGGGACGTGGTGTCCAGCGGGGCTGGGGTTGCTGGCGTGCCAGAACGTGAGACGGTGGCGGAGCCCGGATCGCTCGAGCTGCCTCCCAGGGCCACGCCAGGGAGGGTACTGGTCACGGCCACCCCGTCTGGCTGGGCAGGAGCCCCGGGCAGCCCAACCGGGCCAGAAGTGGCCGTCCCGACAGAGGCTTGGAGGCTCTGGAGAGTCTGTCCACAGACGTGGTGATGCTTCTCCCAATCTTTGTGCTGGCAGAAGGAGCCGCAGTAGCGCGCAGTGTTGCATCCGCTGCAGGTCTCGCTGGCCTTGCGCCCGCAGTTCCAGCAGCTCTGCAGGAGAAGGCGAAAGTACAGAGATCAGCGCAGAGCGAAAGACAAGCGTGGGGGACAAGAGGCGCTCTACTCTTCACCAGGCACCAGACACGCGGTCCGTCTCTCCCGTGGCGGATTCACAAAGGGCTGTGGCTGCGCTCCAGACTGTGCTCAACTCCTACATTTTAGGACAAGGCCAAAGCATGGGGGGGAGCCACGAGACCAACACACGCCTGGCTCCGAGTCATGGCTGCTTGCAGCCGGCTATTCTGGCACCCGGCTCCAGGTCAGGACTAGAGAGGGTCACTACCTCACTGGAGTCCTCCTGCTGGTTAATTACGGTCAAGGCGTCCTCGGAAGCTTGGCGCTTGGCTTCGGCCAGGGCCCGCTCCATCTTGGCCCGCTCCGTGGTGATCAGCTCGTGGGCCTTCCGCTCCGCGTCCGAGACGGCCTTCTGCAGCTCCGACATGGCCTGACGCTTCACCTCGTTCACGGCTTCTTCTGAAAGGCAGAGCGCAGGGCAAGGCAGAAATGATAGAGGAGGCTCGGTCAGGGCAAGCAACACCAAAGAGAGCAACGTGTCGCCACTGCTCTGAAGAAGGTCTGAGATCTTCCAGAAAAAGGAGGGTCAATATGTAGCCCCAGGGCCACCTGCACGGTCCAGGGCCCCCTTCTGGGCCCTTTCAGGCCTCACTGGCCAGGATTGCTAATACTGGGAGCTAGTTTCAGGCGAGAAATATAAGAACTGTAGTTTAAACTCTAAAATAAGCACCACACTGTCAAAAAACTGATTCCTACACAGGTTCACCTTCTTCGTAATTCACTCCTGCAGCCCCTCCCCGGGGAATCCGTGACAAGCAAAGCCACCCAAATGGCATTCACACAACATCCCTCACCAGATGACTAATTAAGCCATTTTCAGGCTTCACCTAACCCACTGTATTGTAGTCTGGACTTGCCTAAGATGCTGGCTTACAAGAAAAATCTACCTGAGGCTACTGCTCAACTAGTAAATGGGTTGTGTGAAAGGAGCCACTAGCTAGGTTTTTAAATGGCTTGGAGAAGGGGGCAAACTCGATGGCAGAATCCGTCAGGGGAAAGTGGCAACTTTAATCCCCCCGTCCCGAGGTGGCCAGCCATTCTCCATCAGGCTTAAGCAGAGTCTGCACTGCACCCTGAAGGGACCCATCCCCTCACCCCACTTTTAGTGGTGGGAAAGCAAGGCTGGCCACTGATTCCTCTGCACCATTTTCTGGCTGGTGGGAGCCCACCAGAACACAATCATCTATTTCAGATAGGTGCACCGGGGAGAGGGGATTCCCAGGCAAAGGAGGTTCCTGGCTGAACCCCATAAAAGCAGCATCAGGTGGGATGTTGCACATCCCTTGCAGATGTTTCCTCTCTCGCAAGGGCTGCTTGCTTTGGCCACAGAGCAAAACTCCTGCCGATGGTCTGCAGAGCACTGTGGGTCCTACATATAACAGCCACCCTGCCAATGCTTCAGAGCAGCGTCTCCCAACCCCCGCAACTGGAGGGCTGGGGAATCCTGGATGTCCACACATCCCTAATTTGCTAAGGTTGAGGAAGCGGCTTCAAACTCGGCCCAAGGGCAGCTCCATCTGGGGAAGCAGGGCCAAACTGACCTGTACAAGGGACGCTGCTATGCTGGGCTTGGTCAGCAAAAGGAGGTCTGCAGCTGGACCGCCCACCAGGCTGAGAGCCACAGTAGCTCTCCCAGTCCTTGTTCAGGACAACGAGCCATTGTCCCACGATCGCTCATTCCAGGGACTTTTTTGGCTTCTGCTTGGTGACACAAGAGCCGATTTTCTACAAGAAGCTTTTCCTCACTTCCCCTAAAACTCACCAGCTTTTCTCCAGATTTCTTCCGGCATGTAGCCAGACAGGGGCCTGGATACAAATTCACGATGAGCATCTGGGGAAATGGCAGAATGAGAAAAATCTGTTGAGAAGCGTTGAACGAACCGACTTGTTATTTCTTGCTTTGGAAAAATCCAAGCGTAGTCAGGCTTGCGTTATCAGCACCCCTGACTGCACCCTGGAGAGTCGGGGGCCAGACTGTGGCTTCATTGGGGGAAGCTTTATGACCAACAGCCAAGAGGGTGGTGGGCACCCACAGGCACCTGCAAAGAGGTGGGGGCAAAATCTTGGCAACAAGGATCAGTTCCTCGGGTCCAGCTCTGTGGAGCTCGAAAGCTCCTGTGCCCAGAAGCCAAGTGGATGCAAGGGAGGAAGGCCAGGGCACCCTGGTAGGCAGCAGGGTGGTGCCAATAGGGGATCCCGCCTAAGAGCCAAACAAAGACCCTTGCCCAGGGGGTGACCCCACAGGTTTGTGCAACCCCCTTAAAAGCCATCTCAGGAATTGTGGCCAGGACTTCTAAGGATTCATTCTAGACCAGAAGTCCCCAACCTTTTGGGCACCAGGGAGAGAGAGGTTTTTCTGTGGACTGGAGGGGGCGTGGTTTTGTGTGCTGCCTGCATCCTGTGGATGGGGCTTTCCTTGTTTGTGTGGACTGGTTGCTGGCATGCCGCAGCCCGGTACTGATCCATGGACTGGGGGTTGGGGACCCCTGTTCTAGACTGACTAGGTTAGAGTTTGCATTAACCCATCCTGTGACTTGCTTTGGTCTGCCTTAAGGTGGCTTAGCCCAGCCTCTCTGGTTGACAAAATGTGGAGGAAGGCTTGGCTTGTTCTACAAACCCAGCTGATGATGGTTTATTCCATAAACCACAATTCAGTCAACACAAAATGAGTTTTGTTTCATCAGATGCCCCAGCAGATGTTGGGGTTAAGAGATTGCATCCTCTCTGCTCATTCCCAGTTTTTAATGGAGGGGGTGGTGGTAATCTAGTTGTCATCAGTCTCCCCATTCTCCCCCACCCCAGGTTCTTCTGAGAGGCCCTGGCAGTGGGGGCTGTTGGAAAGGCCCAACTCCAGAGAGCCCATGACAGGCGGAAGGGGCCCCTCCACAGACAAGAGCCTGTTCAGAGGGGGAGGAAGGCCACACTCTCTGTGCCTGGAGTCAAGGGCCTCCATCCGGTGGCCTGAGCCCACCTCCTCCCTTGCTGGGGTACCTAGCAGTGGCGCCTCGATGTTGGCAGTGCTGTTGAGGGGGCGGCTGGCAGGGCTCGGCCCCTTCTTCATGTCTTCGGCGTCACTGTAGCGGCGGATCCAGTGGTTGAGCTCCTCACGGTCAGCTTCCTGGCAGCGGCGCAGCACGGTGAGGGACCGGCGTGTCTTCTCCACCATGTCCATGATGCAGTTCAGGAGCTGCTGAGAGGAAGGCCACATTTGACAGTTGGGGTGGCAGCTCTTCTTCGCCCAGCCTGGCCTCCTCCTTTTCCAGCCCGTGGTGCAGATCACAAAGAAAGTGGGGAGGTGAGCATTGCTCTCCATCTCCCCCTCCCTCCCTCCCTCCCTCCCTCCTCCTTCGCCAGGTAGCTCTGAAGGAGCTTCACATCCATCTAGCCAGCGTGAGGGTCAATTGGCCAAAGGCAGTCTTAGACATTTATTTGATATGGTCCCTCCTCTCCTTTTCTTCTGGCCCCTCCTAAACTTTGTGGCTTATTTTTCACACAGTGATTTATTGTGATTCCAATCTGCTGAATGAACCAGGACAGAAATGATTGAAAATAAGAAAAACGAGTTAGTGTTTGCTATCTTGAGAATGCTTCATTCAGAAAAGGGGGAGGCTAAGTAAACAGAAAAAAGCCCGACTGAGTCATTCATGTGTCAGGATCAGAGCAGGGAAGGAGTAGGGGGGGGCAGGCTTGGGATTTGCAAGGCACAAAGGGAAGGACCCCAGCGGCCCCCACAGACCAACAGCCAACATTTCAAACTTCATTTTCTCCTGAGGTACAGACAATCCTCTACCAGCAGAACCTGAGGATTTCCCCCAGTTGTTCTAACCCCTTTGCAAGCCTCTGCTGGTTTGATCAGAAGGCAGACAAGAAGGTGGGACATTCCTAGAGTAACTTCTTACCCGGGTGCCAAGGATTGCCAAGCCCACAGAGTTGATTCACGGTGCCCACCCTTCGGAACGTCATTGCCCAGGAACCAAGAGGGGCTCCTGTCCTCCCGGCCTTTAGGAAGGGCCCAAAGACTTGCCCAGGGCCTGGGGGGGCCAACAGTGGAAGTGGGCCTTGGCAAGGGGTGTCTTAATTGGAATGACGTTTAGTACTCTCAGCTACTCACTGTAGTTTGGCTTTATGTTTCCTTGAGTTTGTAATAATGTGTTTTATATAGTCATTGTGTTTATTCATACTTTTTATGGTTTCTGATGTTTTTAATTATCATGAGCCCCCCAGAGTCACATTTATGAGATGGGTGGCTGTATACAAATTCACTAAATAATAAAATTTAAAACCGTTGTACGTACATTGTTGAGGTGTTTCCACTCTTCGGCCCATTCTCGCTCGGTCAGCCGGTGGTCAATCACCTCCTCTTGCCGGGAACTGTGGACGGCTGAGGGATGAAGCGACATGAGTACGGGTGGAAGGAAAGGACCTCCACCCATTATGAAGCCTCCAGTCCCCGAGGAACCAAGGGATATTTACCCAAATTCCTGCCAGTGGGCACACCCCCAGAGGCACACCTGGAGGATGCCAGGGCCAGGGCTCCGTGGCTGGCAGGCTGCAGGTGGTCTCCCCAAACTAGGCAAGGCTGGGGCAACCCTGAATTCCATTGGAATGCAATTTTAAATCAAATCCTGTTCGTTAAATAGAGCTAGGATGATTGCTCCCTGGGTATTTCACAGTTCCTTTCTTCTGTTGTATTTAAAGTTAGAATTTGGGAGGAAGGGAGAGGTGTCCTTTTGTTTTGAGGGCTTGCAGGGGGCTTCAGGACCCCTGCTGTGCAGGGACATTATTGCGATCATCAGAGACGCCCTTTGCTTCTGCCTCTCATAAAGAGGAGAGCGTCTATTTGCAGAAGTGGAAGCAAAGACCCCCTTCATCTGCTTGGCAAGAGTTGTTTTCCACCCCTACTTAAACCTGGGGGGGGGATGGGAGGGAGTGGCGAGCCTCAACTAAGCTCTTTTGCACACCATCCTTGTCATTTCTTCCCAGCTCTTCCAAGGCTCCTCCCTTGCCTGGGTCCAATCCTGTAGTGCTCCAGCCAGCTCTCTTTGGGGGGACCTGCCCACCAAGCCCACTTTTCCCTGCCTGGACCCCTGCCCGCCTCTGCTTGCCTCCCCATCCCACATGCTGCCCCTGGGTGCTCCCTCACCAGCTGGCCGGGGGTGCTCCCGAAGGTCCCGGGGATCCGGAGGGCGGTAGGTGTCCCGGTAGCGGTGGGCCACAGCCATGTCCTCGAGGCGGTAGTGCTGGGGGGGAGGAGGGGTGGGGTGGGGCAGCCCATTGGGCTGATGGCTGAGCCCGTTGCTGGGGCTGTACCGCTGGGCAGGGCTCAGGGTGCAAGGCCTTTTGCTGAGGTGCTCAGGATGCAGGGAGTCGCGGTCCAAGCCATTCTCTTTGGTCCTGGGCCACAAAGACACACACCACAGTCAAGGCACTATGGCAGATTCACCAGGCTGGCCAAACAGAGAGCCAGCAATGCCCAGGTCAGCCTGTTCCAGCTTCACAGAATGACCAGGTTCACACAGCCTGCATGACAACTGGCTGAATGGCAACCCTCCCTGGAAGTGACCGCAGCCCTTCAATGCTGCTGCCTGGGCATCTCCAACTGGCTGGTCCTTTAGAAGATGTCACTGGGCTCTTCTGCAGGAGGAATGTTTGCAGTTCAACCTTTTCCCTTTTGGTCGCCTCCAAAATGGTGTTTGAGAGTGACCAGCTTTGGGTTATGGCTGACCTAAAAGCTTGGTGAATTCACCAATATATCTTTGGAGTTGTGTAGTCCCCTAACCTCTATCACTCTGCTAACGGGAGCCATGGGGAGACTGGTGCTCTCTGCTTCCTAGGAAGTACATCTTAGTTGGGGTGGGCAACCCCTAAGCTCCAGGAAGGAGCCGTCCTGGAGAACTTGGATCCTCACTGTCCGTCATTCAGCCTGAGGAGCAAAGATGTCAGGACATGGGTGCCTGCTGATGAGGGGAGCCCAAGGGCCCAGATTGGCTTTGCCTCTTTCTCAGTGGTGACCAGCTGCCTTGGAGATGCTCCTTTCTCCATCTATCAGCCCCCTTTTTTAGACTGTGGCCCTCCTGGATGAGGACCTGGCCTCTAGAAAGTGCCAGGCAGGTCAAAGGTCCTTCTTAAGAATAATGCCTGGCAAGGCTGTCCCCAGCCTAGGACACCCACTCCTGCCCTCCCCCCTTCTCTCACATGCTTGAGGCTGGCCTACCTGTCTGGCGTCCGCCTTTTGACCCCTTCGTTGACCTCCAGCAGCAGCTCCGAGGAGTCGATGGGCGAGGAGGCGTTGGCGTCCAGCAGGAGCTGCTCGTGCTGCGCCAAGTACTGGGCGGGGCTCTGCTTGGCCATGCGGGCACAGTGGAGAAGTTCCCGTTGCAGCAGGGGCAGGTTGGCCTAAGCAGGCAAGAGAAGCCATGAAGAGAGATCAAGGGGGCAGTCTGGTCTGCTTGCACGCCTCTCCTCTCCGTGGGTTTTCCACAGGAATCTTGCTGGAGATGAGTGCCTGCTCTCTCATTCCAAAGAAGCCGGAAGCTCTTTGGAGCCTCGTCTTATTATCTTTCCAGAGAAAGCCTTCTGGCCCTCCTCCAATGGTTCCCGGGATCTACGGGCTCCTTATTCCCATCTCCCATGCTTTTAGCAGAAAGTGTTTGTAAATAAAGTAGGGCTCCCTGCTTTATTCCCCGCCCAGTGAGGTTCTCACGGAGCCTGGATCCAGGGAGGAGCATCCACCGAAGTGGTTAAGCAGGCGAGCAGAGTCCTGCCACCAGCCAACCATGGTTTCCTACTTAAGCAGCCAATGGACGGCCAAGCCGCCATCTGTTGAACACATTAGAGCTGACAAAATGCCCCACTGTGGATTCCAGGACAGCAAACCTCCTCCTCCTCCTCCTCCTCCACCTTCTCCCTCTCTTGGCCTCGGCTCCACATTTCCAGAAAGAAAAATAATAAAAAGGAATAAATAACATCTCTGGGAAAGGCCTGCTGGAGGCCGCCTGCTTTGAGTTAGCGTAATGAGAAACATCTGGAGCCCCGGGTGGAGGACAGCTGGGAGAGGGTGCTGGAGAGCCGAAGAGGCAGGGAGGAAGGAAGGTTCCGTGTGTGCGAGGCTCGCAGGCGGCCCCAATCCCCCGCCAGAGAGAGTCAGGGGAGTGGACCAGTTTTCCCCAAAGCCCGTAGAGTCATGTTGTTGGTCACCCAAGTGGGATCTGTGGAACAACAAGTAACCCAAAGGAACCAGGGTTGAACTGGGAGCACCGGTGGGGGGGGGGCTTTCACTCCCAAGGTTGTGAAGCTGGAAGGCTGTGATCTCAGGGCTGTCATCCTCGTTTTGACGCCCTCTTTGGGCAAGGGAGAGGAGAGGAGAAAGTCGGGGCTTCTTCCTTTTAGGCCTCTAAAGAGCAAGGTCAGCTGATAGTTCTAGAGGCAAATTCTCCTGAAGGGCAACTTGCTTTTCCAGAAATATTTAATAAATCTTGAACCCAAACTCTAAATGAAAGGTACGAGGCTTTTAGAAAACAAGATTTCCAAACAAAGCATTTCCTTGCTTTGGCAACCCTTCTGAAATCATCCAATTCTTCCAAGCAAAAAATATTTGAAAAGAACTGGGCTGGGGTGGAGAAATCAATGCAAGAGGAGAGAAGGACCCACAGCTGGGGGGGTGGGGGGGGGAGGAGGGAGCCTGGCAGACTGCTGCGCCTGCGAGCCTCAAGACTTTGCTCTTTGCTCAGCGAGGCTTCTACGGCCTCTTCTGATGGGCAGCAATTCTCTTCAGCAGGCGTCTGCAACCTTGGCAACTTTAGGACCTGTGGACTTCAGTTCCCAGAATTCCTCAGCCAGCCAGCTTGAAGTCCACAAGCGGTAAAGTTGCCAAGGTTGGAGACCCCTGCTCTATAGAGCAAGGGAGAGATTGGTCCGGTCCAAAGGTTTGTCCATTCAACCAGAATGGTCACTTTTAGACTGGCCACAGCTCCTCAGGCTCAGAGGTTGTCCTGGGAATTTCCACACGCAAAAGAGTTGCAACAAGCCTCCTGGTCATCTGGGAGCAATTTCCTTTGTGATCTTGCAAGCGTCCTTGGGAACACCACCCACTCTCCATGGGAGAAGACGGCTCCTCTCTGAGTCACCCTCTTTTTTCCCCTGGTGCTGCTATTAGGAAACCAGCTGAGATCCGCAAGGGGGGATCACCTATTGGGTGGCTGTGCTGACCACCCAGGAGGGTTTTCCACAATAAAAGTTTTCCGTGCAATGAATGAAATTGTGTGTTTTTGAGAGGGCTGGAACAATCAGCTCGCAGCGATCCATTTCAACAACAGCCTCCGTTTAAATAAAAAGGGGGCTGCTGGGGTAGCAAAGTTCCCCTTCTGAAATGAATCAGTGTCCCTTGAATCACACACGGGGGGGGGAGGATCTTACCTTCAGGAACGGGATGACAAAAGGGCGCAGGGGGAAGTTTGTGGCCTCCTGGAGCTTGGAATGGAATTCTTCAATGGTCAGTGTGGAATTCTGCAAGGTAAACATCAAAACTGGTCAACGGATGAACTCCCGATGAAGCCACAAGGGCCTCTATTCAGGCTGTCCTCTTCAAGGTCAGCTTTGCTGACCACTTAACATGTTTCAGTGCTTTTAGATAGTAACACAGAGAATTCCCAAACCACATGCTGGGAATTCTGGGCAGAACAATTTCATCACATCTGTAAGGCAGGTTAACAAGGCCCAGGCATGTTGCCCACCGACAAGGTCCAAAATGGCAGCCGCGTTAATCGGTTGCAACAAAAACAAGCACAGGTGCCGTCACAATCCGACCCCTCCTCTCTAGACCCCCCTGCGGCTGAACGCACGGCTAGCAAACTGATGGCCTCAGGTGTGCAGCGAATTAAACCTTGGCTTCCCCAACAGCGTGCTTGTTCGGTTGCCAGGTGTGTTAAGGTTCTGCACTGCATTAAGTGGAAGCAGCAGCCCCGGGGCTTTTACGGTAGCCTCTGACTCAGGAGGGGAGTTGCCAATGCAGCTAGTCCTCAACTTACAACTGTTTGTTTAGTGACCATTCAAAGTTACGAAAAAAGTGACTCATGACTGTTTTGCACCCTTACGACCGTTGCTGCCCCCCTCAAGGTCACGGGATCAAAAATCAGACGCCTGGCAACCGACTCATATTTATGATGGTTGCAGCGTCCCAGGGTCATCTGATCCCCACTTTGTGACCTTCTGACAAGCAAAGACAATGGGGAAGCCAGCTTCACTTAACAACCGTGTTCCTAACTTAACAGCTGCATTGATTCACTTAACAACTGTGGCAAGGAAGGTCGTAAAATGGGGCAGAACTCACTTAACAAATGTCTCACTAAGCAACTATGGTTGTAAGTCGAGGACGGCCTGTACTCCAGGGCCCTGGACCTGTCACCACCCAAAGTGGCCGGGAACTCACCACGAGGCCCAGCACCAGCGTTCGGACCCGCTCCCCTATCTCCGGAGAGATGTCGCTGCCAAACTGCTGCAAGGTGGTGAGGAAGCGCTTCAACTTGCTGAGCTGGCGAGCGCCGCAGGCCGGAGGCAGCTGGTGGTTGGAGAGGGCAGCCGTGGAGGACGTGGCCGGCCCGTTGCTGAAGCCGTTGGGCGTGGAGGGGGCTCCGTTGATGGCCGTTGGAGAATGACTGCTCCCATTCATCACTGCGAAGGAAGAAGGAATCGTGGAGGGAGTTAGTTGGAGGACAAGAGGGAAAATCCAAAATTCTCCGGAAGTAGAACTTCCAAGTACATTTCCATCTTTCCCTTCCCGTCCTCTTATTCCCAGGAGAGCAGTCCGGATACGACTAATACTTGCTGCTGGAGCCTGAAGCATCTTAGCCGGACCCCTCATTATTCCTTCCAAGTAGGTCTCCTGTTACTGTTCCATTAAACCCACCAACTGCCCCCAAACTGCTCAGGGGCTTCGGCCAGGCCCTCTAGAGCCTTCCCCAGCCTCTCACTTGCAGGTAGCGATCACACCTCGGACGAAGTGAGCATTTTTAATATCCCAGAATCTTAAATTAATAAGTAATAACTTACACTATTAACTAATAAGCTAACTGGAAAGGACCAAGAAGGTTTTAAGGAACTGAGCGAGCATCACTTGGGGGAGGGAGGGAGGGAGGTCAAATAAGATCTGGAAGGTGAACTCAGAGAGGTTGAGATGGACCATTTTAAATATGCGTAGACTGAAGTCAACGTAGAGATGAAAACCAGTAGAGACTTTGACCTTTGATCAGGCAGGGAAGCTCTAAAGATTCTGGGCCAGGAACCCCAGTGTGCCGGGTGAGCAGCTATTCCAGAAGAAGACGGTGGCCACCCTCTTCTAAACAATGGCTAAGGAAACCCCATCCTGCCTTTCGCTCTGGGGGATACCTAGAATTCTAGATTCGTGCAGATCTACAACAAAGGAAGGCAAATAAGCCAGCAAACCGTCAAGCTGATAAAATGATCCTAAGCACTGAAATATTAAAAGTATGTCTTCGAAGAGAAGAACAACATCTATTTCATGAGGGCTTTTCTTGCTTCCAAAAATCACACTGTGCCCCACTGCTTTCCGAAAGGAAGGAGTGAGATGGGAAGAGGGGAGGGATTCCGTTAAATAAACTTCAAGGAGGAGGGGCTGAGTGCTATCCGGCCCCCTCGAGAGTCTCCTGTGCAGCCTTGCAAGGAGGTGTCGCTGTGTTTCAAGAGAGATGCTCCTGGTTGACACACCTTGGCTGCTAATGCCAGAGGAACAACCACAGAAGGGAAATGCAAAAGATGGAGAGTCCTGCCGGAAAGCAGGGAGAGGAATCTGGTTCTGCTACGAGAGCCCAGACTGAGTGGGGATCTTTCCCCAAGGCACCTCCTAAAAGACAGCCCCGCTTCACTTCCACGTGAACACAGGCAGGCTGGTGCTGCCTTCCTGCTCCACGGAGGGATTTCCTCCCAGCAGTCAGCTTGTATTTCAAGCAACATCTCGAGATCGCTTCTCCTCTGCTCCTTCCATTCCTTGTCGCACAAAATGTTTTTGTTCCTTTCCCATCCAGGCAGGAATGCGGAGGGGGAGGGCCTGCCCATGGCCCCAACTATTTCCAGACCCGACAAGAGGACGTGTCCTTAGGCCAGAAAAATAAACCTGAGCCCAGCCCTCCTGCCTTGGCTCTTGCAAGCCTCCCTAGACTGAAGACGGGGGGGGGGGGGCTAAGGGCTGGCTTCATCCAGGTGGAGCACTTGCAGTCTTTTGGGCCCCCTGCTATTCCTGACCCAGCAGGTGTGGCATGCTTGCACAGCCATGTGGTTGCCCCTGAAAGATCAACAGAGTGGCCACCTCGGATGCCCACAGCCCCTTGGCCTACGTGCAAAGGAGAAGGGGCCGTCAGTCCCCACCTGCTTGGCAGAGGACAGAGACGAAAGGCCAGCCTCAAATGGCCCAGCCTTTGAAAACCCTCCCTCCCAAGTAGGCCAGGGGAGAGGCCGCCTTCGCCCGGACTCATCACACACCACTAACCGTTGCCGTTGTTACCACACTGCCGTGGAAAGCTGCAGCCGTCCAGGCCGTTGCTGCGTTCCTTGGGCTCCGACTGCCTCTTCGGCAGGGCGAGAGCGGCCCCTTGCTAAAGAGGTGCCGAAAATAACCGCCCGGCCACAACGGCTTTTATTCCAGTGACAGGTGCGTTACTAAGTTAAACTTCACATATGTCGCCGGAGCCGGGGCTTCGGGGGTGGAGGCGGCCCAGGGGGTTCCCCTCAGCTAAAGGTGGGGATTCTTCGGAAAAGTCCAGGGGTCCAACACCAGCCCCCTCTCTAGCTTGCCTGGGGGGAATCTGGGCAGCCAGGAGACACGTCCTGGGTGCTGCACTGGGCTTTGGTTCCTGAAAAGCACCTGGAGGGAGCTTGAGGACGACGGCCACGTCACTTGCGGAACCCGAGGGAGCGCTGGGTCCAGATGGGACCCACGGGGTGGCTCCTGCGTCCTTCCCCCCCACCTGATGCATAGTTGTTCTATTTTTCTTTTACTTAATGTCTAGACCATCTGACTCCCCAGGGAGTCTGGACAGCTCACAACTAAATACCAGCCAAGTTAAGGAACAGACAACCAACCAGGGGACCAAAGAACAGGAAAGCAAAGCAATGTGAAATAAGAAAAGCGGGGGTCAGTTTATCCTCAAAGCCTGGAGAGCAGCCACTTCCTGAGTGACCCATGAATTTAGTCCAGAGATAACAGTTCTGGGTGCTTCCTCAGCAAGGGTGGCATTCCTGGCTCCTTCCGTGTGATGCTGGGATTGGAACAGCCTCTTCACAGGGGCTCTCTGGGTTTGCATGTGGTGGCCTGGCATGCCCACAAACCTCCCAGCTGTCCCAGGGAACAACCCCATTAAAATGTTTGTGGTCCAGCTTCCTTGAAGACATCTTAATGGTTTATGTAAGGCCAGGAAGAACAGACCAAAATTCCACAGGATCACCCTTTTGCATCTCACAGCAAATGCCGGAGGGAAGGAACGTAAAATTTCTTATATTTGTTTGGTCTCAGCAAATATCAACCAAAATAAACGTTGTGAAGGAAGTCCAAAGGGTTTTCCTATCCTGACTCAACCAACTGCGCCCTTTGATGACCGGGAAGGGACAAGCACTGAAGTGCGGCTGCATCGGGGTCTCTCCCGCAATGAATCACTGACCCTTTACAGACAGACATTAATGGAAATGAAGACAAATTTAAAATAGCCTGTTGCAGAGTAGAGCCAGAGGAAAACTGAAATCCTAAGTACAATCCTCCGGGTTAAACTCCTTGTTAGCCTGGTTCAGTGATCAGCAGTGCTGTTTGCAGGGCAGCTCGAGAAAGTCAAGAGGGTGATGGCTGCCTCCAAGCTCCACCTCTTTTTAATGTGCTTTGCATTTTGCATGCAGGGCACATGAAAAACATAGAGCTTGGAACCCACCCTGGCAGTTGCCATTTCGACTTTTGGGGCCCTACTCTGCTAACTAGGGACCAGCACGGAGCAAGTGGGAAAGGGTCCCAACCCAGGAGGGATCCACCCCCCCCTCAGACCCGGCATCTGAGTGCTGCTGCCTGGCATCCTCCCCACCCCCAGCCCGGCTCTTCTAAGGGCACAAGCAAAGCTGGGCTCAGCCTCTGGGTCTCTAGAGGAGGGTTTGCTTCATCTTACTTACAGAGGCACACCATGGACCATTTCAGGCAACCATGAAATCGGCCGCGAGGGAGAAACATCGGCGGCCCAGCGTCACGATCTGCAAGTAAAATAAAACATACGCTATCAGGAGAGACCAGAGGCCGGGAGAGGCCTTTTCATCGCTGGGGACGGTCGGGCTTTATGGTCTCCGTGGGGAGATCCAGTTGGACGCAGACGTTTTACTTCCGGGGCAAAACCCTTAGAAATTCTCTTCCCTTTTCCCAAGAGGCTCAGAAGCAGCAGGGCTGGGCAGAGCAAAGCCACACCAAGGAACATCTCCCCGGCTTGTGGGAGACGGCAGTCCTGAAACAACCAGCTCTAATCCAGAAGCAGGCTCAGGAGACCCTTCCTTGGCAAAAGTCCTGCTGAGGACCCCACTGATGTGCTCGCCTGTTATCCTGACGTTATAGAGCTAGAGGTAAGCAACTGGCAGCCTTCCTGCCAAATCAGGCTTGGCTGCCCTTTGACCCCCCCCCCTCCATGACAAAGAAGTTTCTTCTCTTCTGTGCTACATCAGTCCTGCACTTATCAAGCTGTACGTCACAAGGATATCGCTTCAATATAAACCAAGACACTTTGCAAAAAGGGAAGCCATGCAGAACTGCCCCCAAAAGGAATTAGCGACATCTGTAAGGTTCTACCCCCCCCTCCCCCCCCGCTTCCCACATTCTGCCTGCAGAGAGCTACATCCAAGAGTATAGGCTCTAGAACAGTTACCTAACCCATAAGGCTTGGCTGAAAGCGTGGAGAGGGCAGGGCAGGCTGAGAAACAGGTAGACTTGCATTCTGAAAAGCACACTTTACTGTCATGTATTTAGGCTACTTTCAGTATCCTGAAGATCCAAAATATATCAGGAGATCCTAAAGCAGGTTGGCAACTGACAGCCAGGGTGGGGATGGATGGTCCACCCCTTGCTTGCAGGTGTCCCACCCCAGAACCAAAACAGGCTGTCTCCTCTTCCTGTGTAGACAAAGAAAATGAAGAATTGGGTGAGGGAAGGACACTGCCATGTTTAGTGGGTGCTTTTTGAAGATAAAGGTCTGGAAAGCAGTGCTCGGACAAGGCAGCCCCCAAACCAAGTAGGGTTGATTTTGCTGCTTCAGCAACTCAGGACCAGGTCGAACTGAAGTTTCGTCACTTCCACTAGAGCTGGACTTGCTGTCTAAGGATGGTGCTCGAGAAAAGTCAAGCTACTCTTCAAGTCTGCAGGCAAACCTGAGAAAGGGGCATTCAGGTTCTAGACTAAGCATTTTACACATTGGGGTGTAAAGTTCCCCTCCCTTTGCTTGCAGAGGGTCCTCATGTGATGCTGCCCATGTGCCCAGAAGACAGTCCTCAGCTGAGCTAGAGGCTGGTCTTTCCTGGGAAGAGTTTGCAGAAAGGCCGGGGCTCAGCCGCTGGACCAGGCATGCAGCCTGCCAACCCTCAGGAGAGGAGGAGGAGGAGGAGGAGGAGGAATTCTCCCTCAGTTCCAAAGTTGCTAATTTTGAGCCGGGCGCTGCAGCTTGAAGCTGAACAGGGAAGCGATCTGGCACCTCAAGTGTTCTTGCAGCAACTATTTTGGGGCTTCGGCATGGAGCCCTGTGCCTGCAGAGACGGCAACCCATCTGCCGTTGGAGCGTTCACCTGCGAGCGGAGGAAAGCTGCCCATCTGCCATGCAGCCTCTGCCCACTGCCCTGCGACCTTGGCCACGTGGATGCCGCTCCCAATCCCCAGGACGGGGAGGTGGGGTGCCAGGAGGTGGGGGCGCCGTGGGCAGCTGGGCTGCCAGATGGGGATCTGCTGGCCGAGGAGTGGCCAAGCTCAGCCAAGCCAGAGCTACCCAGCGTTCCCACCAGCCAAGTCAAAGGCCAAAATCCAGATATAGGCAGCAATCAGACCCTGGTGGGCGAATCTTTACAGCACTGGGAGAGCGCTTGAAAACTGCAAACCAGCTTAAGGATTGCAGGAAAATTCATCTCTGCCTTGTGCCCTGCCTGACTCTCCTCCAGGCTGGCTACCTTAAGCAAAGGGAACGTGACCTGAGAACATCTGAACAAGGATGACCAAGAATGGAATCCTCCCCTTCTGTGGCATGCAAAGAGTGTGTGATACTCTGGACCACGCAGGAAGCACCATCAGCCTCGCTCCAAGTCCATCTGAGTCTGCCAGGCAGAACAGGAGCAGCTGCTAGGAGTCCATGCAAGGCAGGGCAGATCCCATGCTGGGCAGGACTCTGTTCGAGCAACGGGGGGGGGGGGGGCTTCCACCTGCTCCCACAGTGGAACAAGAAAAGTACAGGGAGAAAGTGAAGAAGTGCAGAATGGCTTCCCAGCCATCCCTTAGCTGGCCTCCTTCCCCTTTCTCCCACCGGGTCTTCCACACCCAAAGTTTCTGCCTTTGAAGGGGTGAAGTGGGCCTTGGCTGCAGACTGAGCTGTGTATCACCAGGGCCCAACTTTAAAACCATCCAATTCATTCTAAAGATCGTTTGGGGCCAAACAGCCTGGCACGAGCCACGTGAACAATGGTTCTCCAGCAAAGACCAGCCAGGCCTTTTATTTCTGGGACACAAAAAAGGGCCAGCCTAAAAGGTGTTTGGTGCCATGCAAGTTCCACGGAGCACAGCCTGATTTTAAACCACCCCGCCAAGGTTCAAGCATCCCCTCTATGAAGTATGTGCAGAGTAGGTTCCTATTACTGTCAAAGGCTTTGCAATGTTTGAGTCCAGGGATCAGGACCTCTCTCCTTCAGGACGCTGCTCCTGACCGTCCTTTGGTGGGCTGCCCGTTCAGCTCCAGTTGGGGGGGGCGCAGGGGCAAACCTGCTGCTCCTCTCTTTTTGCAAAGCCCGTTTTGCTTTGAGGCTCCCTGAGCAGAATGAGCCGGCTGGCATCCGCCGAAGCCAGCGCTTCCCACGGGGTGGGGCGAGGGACCGTTTCCTTGGCACTCCGAATGCAGTGCCATATGGCAGCATTTGAAAGAGGCCCAAAGAGAGAAGGTGGGGGTGGACAGCAGCCAAGCCCACCCGCCTGGCACCCAAAGCTGTTCTGGGTCCAAGGAGAAGCCCCGAACCCTTCTCCTAAATGGGCGGGCTGCCGATTATCTGGCTGTGGGGTCGGTGCAGCAGGAGAACCACCTGCCTGCCTCTCTCCTGCCTTTGGGGGCTTCCTTCAGCAGGTTCCCCCTCCCCCAAGAAAACATGAGCCCAGGTCTGTGCAGGGAAGGGAGAGACCTTGCAGGGGGGGAAGGAGGGAAAGGAAGCAATCTTCCCATTTTGGCGTACTTTGCACTCCTGATTCACCCATCAAAGGCGTTTTCCCACACGAAGGTCAGGAACTGCACGCCCAAATCCAGAGACCTGGCCATGCCAGAACCTGCCAGCAGAGATCACCTCAAGGTGTCTTTTCCTTCCATCAAAGCAGTGCAGCACAATCAAGGGTGGGAGGAACTTCCCCCCCCCCAGCCAAAGCATTCCATTTTACTTTAAGGATGTCCTATTAATACTATCTAACTCAACCAACAAGCAGCTGAACCCCAGAAAAATTGGGGGCTGTAGCCCAGGATGGGAGGAAGGGAGCACCCCACGCTTCCGTCGGCAAACCTCCCTCCCCCACCTTCCCGTTACTCAGCACCCAGGGATGAAGGGGGTACTCACTAGGGTTTGAGGTGAAGGTGGGGTGCCGCGTGGCTCCCTGGGAGACCGCTGGTGATGGTGGTGGCATGTTGGGGGGTGAGGAGCGGGACTGCGTCTTCACGTCGGCCGGCGAGTCGGGCATCGTGGCTGCCTGATTCTCCACGCTGCCTGCAGGGGAAAGCGAGAAGGGGGGAAGGGAGAGGTGTGAGCAGCCAGGTCTGAAGGTGCAGCCAGAGACGGCAATGGACAGCTGGGCAGGGAGGCTGGGCTGGTGCCGCCTGCCGAGAGGCCCCGAGAAGGCCTGGGGATCAGAGCTGGGACAGGTGCGGTTGTCGAGGCCAACATCCTGAGAGAGACCAATTGGTACAGGTGCCTGGGGGAGGCACAAGGGACAGGATGGTTGCATGGCACCATCATGCAAAGAAGGTACTTTTTTAAATAGCCATAATGGCATCATGATGCCCAGTTCAAGACTAGCCGGGCTAAAGCACAATTCCCCAGCTTTTGCAACTCCTGAATTGGACTCCTGCAGCTCAGAGACTGTTCTTACAACCAGCATAAAACATGGCTTACCAGGATTGAATAAACCACAATGGCGCCTGCATTCCTGTCTACAGGAGATCCACCCCATTAGGAATGGGGACTGGATACTGGGAGCATGTGATCTCAGTGTTGGGGTGGTGTTTGGCTCCCCAATCCAGCCTAAAGGTCGCATGTCGTACCCCCCACTCCATCCCATCCATCCCCCCCACCCTGCAGAAAAATTCGGTCTTTGGTGGTAGCATCTGGTTGAACAACCACCTTGGTTCACTTTCATCTCTATTGCCCTTTCGATATCAAGTAAAACTAACTTTTCTGTATGCCCAAATCTGGTAAGTAACTCAAAATGGAGTCACCTCTTGAGCTGAATCATGGTTTGTTCAACAAGCCACAGGGATGTGCATCACACATAGTGCTAAGCCATGTTTCATGGTCTCCGCGGTCTCTCGTTGTTCTAAGCCCCAACCAACCAGGCCACTCCAGGCTTAACCACAACACATGATCCACTGAGATCATCTCCACCTTTTCATTGCAAAATCTGTCTGTGGAATTCTGGTCTGGCTGCGGGTTGCAGTTTATGCTGCAGGTTTATGTGGGGCCAGACGCAGTGGTGGGATTCAAATAGGTGAATAACCGGTTCTCTGTGTGGATGCTGCTTCCGGGAGTCCGTTCTGGGCCTGGGCAACAAAAAATTAGCTGCCGGTTCCGCCAAACTGGTGCGAACCGGCTGGATCCCAGCACTGGCCAGACGTTGCAATTTTATGAGCTGTTTAGTCTTCAAATTAAATTTGTGTGGTGAGGAAGTCTGAAAACGCACGCCATTTGGTGGCACAAGTGACAAGTGCGGCCAGCCCCACTGAAGCTAGATTGGGCCCCTGCTCACTTCCCCAGCCAGCTGCTTCCAGCTGCTCCGAGAAAGGCTGCTTTCTGGTTGCTCTTGCAAAAGGGGGTGTCATCTCTGCCCATCCCATCGTGGCCCTTCCAGAGGATTGTTTGGGGTGACCTGGCTGGGGCAGAGCAGGAGAAAGGTGGGGCGAGCAGCTGCCACATCTAAACAAAGGCACCTGCCACCAGCCACCCGAGCTGCCAAGTTCATTTCTTCCCCTGCTCCGTTAAAGAGGATGCACTTGAGGTTGATGGCTCCGCGCAAGTGTGCCAGCAGCTGCGGCAATCCATCACGGCGTCTCACGGCCCGGCCAGCCCAGGGCTCGGAGGAGAACCAAAGAAGGAAAGTCTCCCCTTTGCCGCCCTGCCTGGGGTCAGCCAGAGGCTCTTGGAGGGGACGGAGTGGCCAGCTTTCAGGGGGCAACGGATCATCCCTAATCCGCAGCAACTGTGGCACCGTTAAGTGAACTCCGCACAGGAGAGAGAGCGCGGGAAAGGACACGGCCTGTGCTAAATAAAGCCAGGAGCCGAGCCAAAGCAGATGTTCCTGGAGGGCGCGGAACAGCAACCTAAGCCCAGCCTAAGTCCTCGGGGGAACGGGCTGTCCATGCAGGGAGTCGAGCTTTCTTAAGGCAGGGAAGCCTCTTTTTCCAGAGTGGGTGAGCATCACTGAGTGGAGCCCAGTCCTGGGCAAGAGGCAGCTGGGCACCTTCTTGCGGAAGGCGTAGGGACCTTCCTCAAGGACACAACTAGCTTCAGCACAACCTCCCTCCCCTCTGGCTTAGATGGGGCTGCCCCCTCCTTCTGGATTCTCCAGAATTCCCAGGAGGCTCAGCGGGACCCCCATGGAGGGCAGTTTCCCCAGCCGTCCTTTCTCTGCAAAGATTGTC